TGCTGACTAATTCACACAATTCCTCTCTGTTTATCGGACGCTCAGAGCTGCGCTTATGTTCAGAATGTGATTTATAAGGAATAATAACAAAATCTTGTAGTTTTTTCGCCGTTAATCCCTAAACTTATGCACTCCAGATTCATGTGCTGACAGTGTGTTAGGACTTTCGGAATTAGAAGACGATGAACCGCCCTTGGATCAAAAACACTTGAACTTAGTGCATGAAGAACTTGAGAAATTGAACATCGCCACTGATGTCATTAACAAGCTTGAAGTACAACTCGATGGAGCAAGAGCCTGTTTTCGGTAGGCATTGTTGATCTTCAGCATTTCTGTTCGGCGAAATCATGCGTTTGGTGGATTGTTGTGGGTATTCTGTGGAATTCGCATCTATTGACCTAGGCGGCGGTAAGTGCTGCTGCTGCTGACCAGCATGCAAACAACGGTCCACCGATCTCTTGTGTTCGTCAGTCATAGGTGTGCAAACTCGGGAAAATTATGAAGATAGTAGAAAATTACAGTCATACCCAAACTTATGCATAGAAGACATTAGTAGTTCACATTCTCGCTATCGCATGGAAAAATACCAATCATAACTATGCATAGGTGATTTGGATTACGTAAATAGTGGCGTCTCTGAACCATTACGTTACGCTCGCTATGTGCCATATAACATCTAACGTTCCTATTCATTTCTAGAATGGCTACCACCCCCATTCAATCTTTTGCTCATACATGATTTGAGAATGCGAGAATTTCTCATAGCCATAAAACGTAATTTCTATCGGGAAATATGTAAGAGACTCGCTATTTTGCGCTTCATAGCACAGTCATCGTTCGCATGTTTGTTTATAGTTCAGCTCGCAAGACAAATACCACCGTGCGGGCTCACACCTAAGCATGAAGAACTTCTTTCTGAGTCGCTTATGTCATTAAACAAATTAGATATGAAATTTTTTTGAAGTATTTCTTTAGATTGACAACGTTAGATAATTCCTTAGGTCGAGATTTAGCAGGGAAACTGGTATTTCAATGTTGTGGAACTTTTGTCTACACGTCATTGTCGCTTTTGGAATTGCAGAGAAATCCAAGCTTCTTGGTCTGAAAAGCTGAAAGAACTTTCGAAGAAGTACAGCACGGCGATTGCCAAAGCCAGGCCTTATTACGAGGCTAAAATTCAGGTAAGAATTACCATTAATTGCTTTTGCTTTCTAGTTCTTTTTCATTTCTTCAAATCCTTTACAGTTCTTTTTCTCTTCTCACTCTCTGCTTTCATTTTTTC